AATAAATAGTTACTGAATTTTTAGGGAGGAAGGGGAATCCCCCCCCCCATGGATATGCGCCTGCCGTATAGATACGTATATATGGAGAAATGTACAGTAGAACCCCGGTAATCAGATCTAATTGAGGGTATGGTCTGTTCAAATTCGGAAATGTTCGTATTATCCGAAACTATGTACCGTACATATACAAACACATCTATAGATTACCAGACAATGTAACGTAGTGTGCGATGATGGTAACGTAGAAAATGAAGTGAGAAATGGTAACTTAGTGTAGTGATCGCATCATTAAGCAGATTCAGTTCCTTACGGCAAAAGATTTCCGATTTTCTTCTAAGTGGAAATTACTGCTACATAAACATGTGATATGAACCATAGTTACCAGTGCAATAAACGTTTCATTTCAACAACTTGTGTTTTAATAATTAGTTGTTCAGTTCTACAGTATTTATAAAATCCTTTCTTTACCCTACAAAAAAGCATTATATTTATTTTGTTTTATTTCCTCCAGTCCGAATATTGTTCGGGTTATCCGAAATTTCAAATTTGCGGGGTTAGGATAAGCGAGGTTCTACTGAACGTAGAATAGGGAAAGTTATGTAATGCTGTGGAAATCGATTTCGAGATTTCAACGGAAATACATATTTTGGAGTCCCTTGATACGGAAAAAATGTAGTTTTGTCCATCTGTCTGTCCGTTTGTGAGCACCACTAGCGGCTAAACCATACTTAGGATTCTTTCCAAAATGGATATTCCCCAATCAATCTGACTCGAGCGCTGTGATTTTGAAAAACTTTCTTCAAAATTTGGGATTACTTTACACGAACCCCCCCGGATGTTTTCAAAACTTTCTCAAAAACAGCTCCAAATTGTTTCTTTAACTTTCTTGTAAAAATAGAGTAAAATACATTTATAAAGGTGGCATATGTCCGATTTTCAGGGTTAACTCTTTGAAAGGTTTGAAATTTTTCGTGAGTCTTCCCAGAACAACAAAATTGAAGATAGAGATTTCTCATTCAAAAACATTTTTCCATAGCAAGTTAGTTCTTTCATTTTCAAGCAGTTTTTTGATAATTTTCCTAGTTTTCGTGCAATATACATACAATTTTATAAAATAACAAAAACAATATGTTCTCAAAAACGGCTCCAACTTTTTCTTGAAACTTTTGGTAGGATAATTGCTAAATGTACACTATGACATAAACGCCATATTGCTCTATTCTTTTGTTTTTTCAAAAAATTCATAAATGTAAGTATTTTACTTGCCTCTCGCGTCGTTAATATTTATATTAGCGACGATTTGTTCATATGATTATATTTATGAGTACATCTGCTTTAAATAATGTCATATAAAGTTTCTCAAAGATTCGACCGTTTTCTGTGAAAACTAGATAAATACCCACATTTTCAGAAACGCTCAACGCCATTTTCTTTAAAACGGCTGCAAATTTGATCACTTTTCCGATGGATAGTGCTAATTGCATTGTTTCAAAAGACGTTAAGTTCATTTTAAAGTATTTTTTGTTCTTTAAATAATTACACAAATGCAATTTTTGAAAGTTCCCTAACGCCGTTAATATAAACATTTCCAGCAATTTGTAAACACTATTGTATTTATAATTAAAGTTTTTTAAATGACTTCTAATGAGGTTTTTCGAAAACTGAACATTTTTGGTGAAACGGAGCTTCAAATTTCGAATTTACAGTAGCGTTTAAACGCCATTCCCATTAAAACGGCTCCAAATTTTTCAAAGCAAATTTCTATTTAGGATGAGGTTTTACTGTTCTTTAATAATCTTACAATATTTTCGTTTCACTATCAGGAAACCAAAAATTAAGAAAATTTCAAAAACATGTACTTTGGACATTGATAGATGGCAGCTGGCAAGAGTATGTGGCAAGTCTGAATAGCTAACCCAGACCAGAGACAAAGAAAACTATTACGGGAAAATGTGTGCCATCCTGTAACACTAGTTTACTATGTTGTTTATATTGATATTTTAGGAAAATCCTGAGTTTCCCATTTAGAAATACTTCGGAAAAAGTTTTGGAAACACAACAACATAATTTTTGACTATTTTATTTTCTCGGCCTAACTGAGTAAGAAAAGAAAGTATTGTGTTCGTGCGCCGAAAACCTTCTGTTGCAGGGCCCTGGTAAGGAAAATTTGGATACGCCTTGTTCATAGTAATTTGCTTCCTCTAATCCGCAGTGTAGTCAGATTTCATGTTTTGTGGGTTCTTGATAACGAAAAGTCGATTGACGGCAAAACTTGTCTTTTTTCTCCAAAATTTATATTCCTCGATCGATTTAAAGAAAATTGAGGCTCTCTCAGTTTTAAACGGATATTTTTATTTTGGAGGGTTAGTACTTTATATGAATTCACGTTTAAAATTTTCTCAAAAATGGCTTCAATTTTTTTATTAAACTTTGTCTCAGGTAGTGTAAAAAATACTCTTAAAAGAAAAATATGGGATTCATTTTCGTTGATATCCCATATTTTTTGAAAATTGTAGATCAAAATTGTTTTTGGCGTCTTTATACAACTACAATATTGAAGAACGATTTTTTCCTGTACGAAACTGTTCTTTAAAAACAGATATTGAAATAAGATAATGTATAATTTTTCAAAAACATGAGCAGCTTTTGCACTTTGTGTGAAATATAAGCAATTTTTAATGTTTTCAACAATTATTTTCTCAAAACATCCCCAATTTTTTCTTTTAATATTGTATCTTCGTATGTATTAAAGAGCGGTCAAGAAAATGGAGCATGTCTCATTTCCGGCGAACTCTCCGTATTGTCGAAATTAACATGGCAAAAAGTTAATATGGTACAATACGGAAGATACACACTTGTTTTTTAAATAAAATGTGTTTTAAAAATCATGTCTTTAAAAATATACAATTTTTTTAAATAAACGAGTAGTTTTCGCGTAATTTCTGCTTGAAGTTCATGCAACTTATAAAAAAAACATTTTCTCAAAAACACCACATTTTTCTTCAATTTCTTTTCACGGATTGAATAAGAGAAACTTAAAAAATGGGGCAGGTCTCGTTTCCGCTTAACTACCTGAATTTACGAAAATTGCAAATTTAGAAATAATGCGAAAAAGTATGTATTGCTGTAACAACACTAGTTTGTAGGATAATATTTTAGCCTTCAAAAAGTGCGTTGGATCCCCATATCGAGTATTCCGAATTCACTTCTTAATGTTGTTTATATCGGTTTGTTATCCCAAATTTCGACGTCAGACTGAATTTCCAATTGCACACCACTTACTTCACTTCACTTTTGCTCCAGTCTTTTTCAGAAAGTAGTGGAGTAAAGAGGGAGAACAAGGAGAGACGACTCGCTTCCTATTCGGTTTTAACCTGGCTCGACTTGGTAGTGCATTGTCTGACCAACGGATTTTTTTTTAAAAAAATGCTTTCAAGGATTTGCATTATTTCATTTATGTTTTAATGGCTATAAGGGAGTGATTCGGTTGACGACTATAATGTACATTTTAATGGCTCCACAAAAAATGTATAGAAGAATTCTACAAAACGTAGGAATGATTTAATAAAATGAAAAGCAGATAAAATTAGAAAAAAATGCGTTATATGTGTTCCAACATAAAAAGCTTAAATATTCACATATAACGAATAGAGAAGACAATGAAGAAAAAAAATGGAACCGTTTTTCAGGACATAATTTTGAAAAAATATATATTTTACTCAAAATTACGCAAAACCTATTCATATTTTTTTTAAAGTGTACATTGATCATTTTTTTTTAAAGAACAGATTTAATTAAGGGGGGAAGAATATGTATAATATCTTCAATATCGTAGTTGAAGGAAGACGCCGAAATAATTTCGAACGTACGCAATTTTCGAAAAACAGGGATTTTAGCGCAAAAAAAAGACCCACCCAATTCTTTTAAGCGTCTTTTGCACTATCCGAGTCCAAAGTTTAATTAAAAAATTAGAGCCGTTTTTGAGAATATTTTGTAAATGTTTCGAGGCTTCGTGTAAAGTACTCCCAAAAATTAAAATATCAGTTTCAAACTCTTTGGGCCTAGTTCCTTTAAAGCCGTTGAGAAATATCAATTATTAGAGAAAATTGGCTGAACGGTTTAGGTGGTATCGTTGACCACAGACAAACAGACACGTTTCGCCGTCAATCGATTTTTCGGTATCAAGGACCCATAAAACATGGATTCTGACTTCACAACATGTTAGAGGAAGTAATGTTATACATTTAAGAACAAAATTTGTCCACTTTTACGTTTCCAGGGCCCGACAATACGAGTTTTTCTGTCGAAAATTCGCTGTTTTCCGGCGCATGATTATAACACGTGCTCTTCTTACGGAATAAAGGCGAAACAGGAAAATAAAATTGTATGTTTTGAGGGAGTCGTCTTACAGCAAAATCAAAAGTAGAAACAGGACACACGACAAACCAATTAACAGCTACTAGTGGATTATTATCACATGTAACATGAGGCAGAACCTGAAAATGTGAAACTTTATTAAACAGACGATACTCATGAGAAGTTAAAAGAATTTCATTTCCATTCAAGAGAAAGAATTTGTTTATAAACCATTCAGGCTTATACAGAGCAATTTTCAAGAGCCCTATTCTTATTTGAGAGAAGAATTTTTCAATTTTAAGCTCTTCAGTGTGTTGAAGTAAGACCAAGCCTGAAGCCAACAGTACATGTATGGTGTGTGTAAATATTTATGATGATTTAATGTTTCATTTAATTTTTAATCCTGTAAACAATTTAAAACTATATACTCAGTGCCAATTTTTGACAATTTTAATGTTATTAATCTCATTCTGCAGCTTTTGATGTCATCGAATTGAAGAATTTTGGGTTCATGCAGTAGGTTGCAGAGAAGTGAAGCAGGCTGTATTTTGAAAATCAGAGATAAAGTAGAATAAAGGGTGAACTGTCTTTGAAATTATTTTCAGGATTTAAATATGTGTAAAATTATAATATAACAATTTAAAATAGTACATCAACTTAAACAATGACATTAATCACAAGATAGTGTAAGTTTAAACTTAAATTCTAAACAAATTTGAAATCCTTATTCTAAATGAGTTTCCAGATATGAGGGAATATATGAATTTTCATGACATGACGGAAGCTCAAACAAATTTATGAAAAATCAAAAATTATAAACTATAATTGTTTGAAAGAAACAAAAAGTATATGTTCAGTTTTATTTATTCAGGAATGTGGACAAAACAGTTCAGAAACATCTGAGACACTAGGTGAATTTTTCATGAAAACTGTTCGCTTTGGCAAGAAATGGCCCCGTATGATAATTAGCATTCATGAGTCCAGGAAGACCATAGAGATCATGGCTCTCTCTCCCACAAATTCAACAATTTTTTGTCTATTACACAATTTATTGAAAAATAATTACCACATATTGATGACATCACATTCAAAGAAGTATTTGCACTAATTTTGCAGAGACATCATTTCAAGAAGACAATCACATTCATTCTTCTTGAAAATTTGTGGGGAAGGTGTCAGGATTTCTGTTATCCCTCCACCTCTCAAATACATTCTGGATATGGGCCCTGGTAATTGGCAACAAAATAAGAACAAGGATGTTGCTCAACAACTACTGTAAATGTAAAACAGCTGAAAAACACTTATTTTAACAATAATTCAATTGGAGATTAGCCAATTTATTGTCATTATTAACATCACAGATTAGGCTGTAAGTCTATCCAATGAGGTCTAAAAAACACAATGTTAGCTATTAATAAATTTATTTATTTTAATCAGCTTCTTTCGAAATATTATGATACAATACTACGTGGCCCATAACTACAATGTCATCTGGTCTTGAATTAAGGTGCACATGAATAGTTATTACAAAAGTTCATAAATAAAATTTCAATAAAAATAATTGCAAAATCTAAAGCCTTTATTATTTTCAGTAGCATTTACAGTCTTCCCACTTGTCACTATCAAAATATCTTGGGTGTAAATTCTAATTAACATATTTGTTACTACATTTATCACTCATAAACTTCTTGAAGTTGTCACTGGGTTATTGCTATTGACATTTCTTTTGAAAAGTTTACATATTTATTGATTTTTCAAGAGTAAAGTAAACCCTCCTTATTGACTTTTTCATTTAATGAAAACAAAGATGGTCCAACATATAGAATTCTTGAGCTTCCTAAACATTCTTGTTCCTTGTAGAAAACAGCATACTAAAAAAATAAAATGAAATGACAATTGCTTAGATTATATTAATTCTTTTTAGTTATTATGTTTAATGTTTGACTTATGTGTAATACCTGTCCAGGTGTCACTGCCTTTAGAGGTAATTCCAATTTTACAAAAATTGTTGACTCTGATAAAGCAACTACACAACAATTTAAAAGAGGCTTAGTATGTTGGAAACGAAATTGACAAAGAAGAATTCCATATTCTGTTAAGTCTTTAGGAACTGAATGAATCCAATGTACTTCACTAGCAGTAAAAGACTGTGTAAAAAGTGCTGGATGATCTTTACCGGAGGCCTACAAACAAACAAAAAAGATCATTAAGTTCACTTTTATTTAGAAGAACAAATAATACTACAGTGGTATCTTAGGTGAAATATTGTAACATGTTTTTCACATACTCACAACATAAATTGTCTGTGAACTGGAGTCTTTTTTGACAATATAATATCGCTCTTTAACCCCTGCAATTCTGCACCTCTGTCCAAGAGTCCAATTATGCACACCATTATGCTCTCCAATAACACAACCACATTCTACATCAATGAAATTTCCTTTTCTCTCTTCCACATACTGATAGACATGATAATAAAACATGAATATATCAAACATTTATACAATAAACAAAAGTTAAGTGAAATGTCAGAGAGCCTTGAAATGTTTATATGTATCTGAAGACTACAATATGCAAAATATGCAAGTCAATAATACGTGCAATTTTGTTAATGGCCAAATGAAAATTATAATGTTCAAAGATACTTGAAATGGATTTCTAAAACTTGTTAAACTTTGTGCAAAATATTTGGACATCAATCGCATAAAATGAAATATATTCACTGATTGTATGTTATTACTCTTTGCTTAGGTATTTAACATTTTATATTTATGCTTCTGAATTTTTCTTGTTAAAAACAAGAAATATCTGATGATATTGATGAGAGAGTAGTTGATGATAATTCATACAAGACTTTGCAGCAAATAAACAGCACCAAGTTAAACAATGTAGTTAAAATTTATGTCATACTGTCATATCACAAATAAGAAAATGCAGCAGAACAGTGACTGAAAATGAGTTCTAGAAATTATTAGCTTTGTAAATAAGGTGGCATTTATATGGCTTTCCCACTAATGTATTACAATAAAGTGAATGTAATAAATTATTTTTAACAGTTGAATAAATTAAATAGTACCTTCTTGGAATGTACAAAACACTTCAACGTCCATGACATTATGACATATCCCAATTATTCCCAAAATTATTCAATTGGCCATTAAAATGATTTCTTGGAACCTAGCAGGCATAAATTGAATATATTTAACCTATCCAAAAAAATAGACATACTAAGAAAGAATTGGCATGATCATTTAATGAGAATGCCAGAAGATCGAATGCCAAAAATCCCCTACACCTACAACCCAGGCAGGAGTAGGGGCAAACCAATGAATGGAAGGATACTATTGCAGACGGAATGGGCTAATATGCTCAACCCATGATGATATTAACTGCTTTCAAATAACTGATAAATTTCAAATCAAATATATTTGTTACTTTTAAAATATTCTACAAGTTTTCTTCTGAAAGTACTTGGTCTACAAATCTTCACAATTAATTAATGAAAGACAAACCTACATAGTCAAATATTTCAACGAATCATCTCTTCTGTGATTGAGAACATCATTTAATTAAGATAAGCCATTACAGCCCAAATTAAGATTTTCCGAATTTTACAAGAATGTTATATAAGAAACATCAAATAAACAAACAATACATTTTTTAACTAATTTTTAAAACATGGTTTTTCAAACAGAGATAATATCTATCCTCTAAATAGGACACTGGGACATTAAAGGGTATTGCACACCATTTTAAGGAAATGAAATACATAATAAAATGGTTTGTTTTTTTGTTTGTTTTGATTTTATGTGCAAGAAAAGAAAGCATGAAATTCACAATGCTATCGCAAAGGAAAATGACTTTGGAAAATGACTTTGGTTTGATCTTGTAAGTAGTGTTTATCCAATAATCACAAGCTCAGAGAATTACATTAACAACCCAGAAACTGTGTGAAACTTGGAGAGGTGGTTTCCTTCAAAATACTGGAATAAATTTTGGCGAACGTTAAACCGGTCGTCAGTACCTTCAAGGTTTGGCCAGAAAGACCTGTTTTTGTTGGTCTTCGAGCAAAGATGTATCGATTCCTTCTATGTAGCAAATGATATCTTTCCAAACAAATTAACATGCGTTTATGTAACATCAGTGACAGACAATCTTCTTAAATTCCTAGGTGACTTCATTTACTCTCACAACTCAGATATCACAGGTGATATAATATGCCTTGATTTTGAATATAATATGTATTATTTTCTCACAAGCGATTTATATACAATTTGGGATCATCTAGGCATTAGAGAGAAATTATTAAAATGGACTGAAATCCCCAGTCCATACCAAGTGAGAATTCAGAAGCACTTTTCATTTTTCAAGAGAGAAATCATTGGAGTAACAGAGTATTACGTCATGGGACCTCTACTCTTTATTCCCTGTAGCAACCTGACCTCTGCAAACTGATGGATTTACATAACGAAATCAGCAGTGATGGCAAATGTTACACCAACCGTATGAATCAACATTTAGAATTGATCGGGAAGAGTAATGGCATGGACCCATGAATGATTGCTGGCAATCAATTCACAATCAGTATTTCTTAATACTTGGTTCACGTCAGAAAATTTACAGCTTCTGAAATAACCTTATACCAGCAGCAACATCTCAGTGTTACTTAGGAATAATTATGTGTGAAGACTAAACTGGTTCAAGCATTCTCATTAATAAAAACAAGCCAATTATATCTTTTATAAGCATCTAAAACCATTACTACTGAAGAGAACATATGTAACATATGTGAGATCTACTCTACAATATTTCCCTCCACACTCCACTTAAGATGGAAATTTGTTGGAAGGAGTTGAAATAAAGCAATCCAAATTCTTCTTGTAATGAAGAAAATCCCCTATGAAAAGAATTACATCTTCAGTTACCATCCTTGGAAAAGAAAGGATTGCATGGTGATCTGATTGAGACCTACAAGATCATTTGGAGATTCTACTACTGCCCTTCACTGCCTGCTATGAACCAACGAATTTACAATACTGAACTTCAAGGATATCGAGTTAAATTAGTTAATGGCACTTCTGGAAGAATACTTTCAAAATATCTTATTCAACAAAAGGGTAAACCTCTGTCTTGGAATTGTGCCTGCACAATTTGTTAATTCAAACTTAATCCACATACATACTCAAGATCAAAATAAGCTTGACTCTGCATTGACAGTAGATTATTTTTATTCCGATTATAGATCTTCATTCTGAATTCTGTATAATTTTAAAATTTTGGTAATGATTTCATCTTCCAAGTAGGTACTGTGAATGTCTTAAAACATGTTATGTGAAGCCTTTCACGGCCAGCTTGTTAGGTTGTTATATTACAGTGGACAAATTTCCACAATCTAAGTTGCTAGTCACGTTTTGTTCTGTATAATCATAATAGGCCTTTTTTCTTAATTTTATTATTTCAATTAATTTCAAATGATTATTTAAACCTTTATTATCTTAGGTTCATTAAATCTTTGTAAACCATTCTTTACTTTACTTTTTAGTGCCTCTGGTAGCTCATTGTCATTTATTGCTGTCATTGTTTAATAATTTCTAACAATTTCTCACAAATATGATTGCATTTATTCTAACAATTAATGATATCTTCACACATAGGGTTTGAAATATTTTCATCACTATTAATGCTTTTTAATTACAGAATTATGCTCACAATTATTGATTTGTGTATAATTATTGGATGTAAGCATTTTTAAACAATTATTTTCTCAAAACTGGCTCCAAATTTTGTCATTAAATTTTTTGTTCAGCTATAGCAAAGGATTAAAAAATTTATGCAATTCTCTTTTTTTATCTCTTGCCCTTACTTCGTTAGATGAGAAAGTATTGTAATCATGCGCCAGAAAACATAGACTTTTTGGCAGACATATGGACCCTGGTAATGCAAAAGCGAATAAATCTTGTTCCTATGAACAATGTAATCTTGTTCCTACGTAAATTACTTCCTCTAACTACGATGAGGCTCAAGGCTTGAGGCCTTCACAATTTACATGAAATAACCTTAAGACTTTGCAACGGATAATTTGTAAAGCATTTTTATACTAAAATACTTCTTGCACAAGATGTCTCAATCTCGGAAAATCACCTTACTTTTGCCAGTGACCCATGGCTAATGCCAGGTTTATGTACAAGAAGTTTAATTTATTTTCATTCACACAATTTTACCCAAACCATTTGGTTAACATGCAAATTAACCACATAATTTGCAAATCGGACTTATTTAAGATTGTTTTAAAATTATACAATTATTAAATTGAATTTTTTATATTTGCAAACGCCATGGTTTTATTTTATTATTATTTTTGACTTAAATTGAATATTCCATTATTATTAGAGATGGGTCCCATAACTGATCATGCTTAGGGCATAAGATATTACATCAGACCTACATCATCCTGGAAGTGAAAAATTTGATTCCTGGAAGTGAAATTTGTAAACATTGCAGCCTAATCACACTGAAGAAACAAATAAATAATTTCTTGAATATTTATGCACACAATTTTGAAGGCAGTGAAGTAGCGATTTCATGATATTAATAGAAGAACAGATTCTATTACACTCACAGGAACAAACCTCTGATATAAAATTCTGGAAATTTCTTGTACCAATAAAACATATTCCTGTACTTTCTTTCTTCTTGGCAAATGTATTGAGACCTGCATCCATAGCTATTCGTTTAACCTCACTTTTACATATATTCCCTAGGGGAAACATTGTTCTTTGGAGAGGCTCCTGTTTAACTTGACTCAGAAAAAAAGTCTGATCTTTGAATGTATCAACCGCTCTAAGTAAACGAACACCTAAAACCAAAATCACATTATTATTACAAATGTCAACTTCAATTATAATCAGTAGTGGAATAAAAAATATTTAGCTGGTACATTTACCTAAACTTTTTTTGTAATCCTGGAGGAAGTCACCGTATGTTGTTCGAGCATAGTGTCCTGTGGCAATAGCATCTGCTCCTAACTCATGTCTAGCATAGTTGTAGAATGCATCAAATTTAATTTTTCTATTGCACATAATATCTGGGTTGGGTGTATATCCAGCTATGTAATCATTCAGTAAATAACTGGGAGCAATAAATAAATATTGCAAACACGTTATACCAACACACATAGGGCAAATAGATATATTCATTGTGTTAAAAAAATTACATTAAACAAATACAAAATGTAGGTTTAAGATAAATGCATGATGACTAATATTTTTAAATGCATTCATGAAAATTATTTAATAAAGGATTAATGCAATAAACAAAGACAAAAAAATTGAAATACCTAAACACATCATTCCAGTACTCTTTTACAAAATTTATACAATGAAACTTGATTTTCAAGTGGTCACACAACATTTCAGAATCTTGTTCATCTTCAGAAGAACTACACAAACCAATTTCATCATTTAAATCCCAGTTCTTCATGAAAGCTCCAATAACGTCATACCCTGACAAAAATCACACATAATCCACATAAAAGCACATAAAATTACAATTGAATGCATCATATTTACAAAACACTTAAGTCAAGAATAAAATAAAAATGGTATAGAAAACAATTAACCAACCTTTTGCCTTCAAAAACAATGCAGAAACTGCACTATCTACACCTCCTGAAATACCTACAACAACTCTTTTAATAGAAACCATTTCTGATTCAATAAATTTCTATATATTAGTGAAATATACACTCATCAGATGGAAGTCATATGCTGTCACAACTGACATAAGCCTAACATGGTATAATCAGCACGGGGCTTACAACGAAGTATTAAAAATTATCATGTTAATGATACAAAAATTTAAAATCTTCATATTTGTTCTAGACATTTGGGTAGAACATTCTGCCAGTACTGTTAAGCAAATTAGCGACAGATGAGTATAAAGTAGTAAAAGTAAAAGTACTCGCCGGACAGGTTATGTTCATGCGTTTGTTTGGATAAGGCGGCATAATCAGTAAACAGTGATAAAATATTCCAATTTATATATAGTGATTTGTGACTAATCGTCAGCTGTGAAAAGGTAGCCCAATCGGAAGCTTCGATACATAAAACTACGACGTAACAAAGCTTTCGATTTGATAACTATCACCAGCTGATGATCTATCGTAAGTCACTGTTTTTAGACTGGTCTACACCAGCGGTTTTTAAATTGTGCGTCCAGTTGGCTATGGTAGGAGCGTCGCAGTGATTTATTAAAATGATCTTTAGAATTTATTTATTTTAATCCTTGTGTCATTTACATCCACAAAATAACTTTATACTATCATAGTATATGTTATTTGTAATAAATATTATTTATTTGACTAATTGATTATGAATTGATTGAACCTGGACAGTCCTTTTCCATTAAGGCTAAATGCACCGAAAAATACTTGTAGGAAAATTCAATAGATCGCAGCACTATCACTGGGGAA